CTCAACATATGGTTGACCATCTTTGGATACCCGCGGACAAACCACTTTTGCGCATCTTCACCCGCCTTCCAGCCGGAAACACAATCTCGATTGAGAAGGTATACATGAAGCGCTGGACTCGGCATAAGTTCATTCGCTCAGATGTGGCTCCCTCAAATGAAATCACCGGAGATCTATATCTGCAGGTATTGGAGACTCAGGATCTGATTGTCGGCACCAGTGCCGCTGAAGGAACAGCCGTGCGCGCCCGTGCGGTGGCACCTCAAGAGATGATCAGACGGGGAAGGCTTTGGTATGAGGCTTCGCTCGTCAGTCCAGCTATTGAATCTCTTTTGAAGAGCAATGTCGACCTTGAGGTTGGTGAGCGTGCAGAAGACTGGAGTAGCGTCGACTTATTCGGGAGGGATGCATCTCTTATAACCCCAGATGCGCCACTTAGTCCAGTCGCCATGGCCATTGGGACCGGGGGGCTCGGGGATCTCCTGCGTCTCACTAGCTTGGTAGTTGAGAGGGCAGATGGTGTTGGCTACTTCAACCAGAGGGCCAGCGTCTCAACCAAGGCATCAGTCCACTCCGGTGCACTTCAGATTGTACCTGTTTCGAAGGGCCTCGAGTTTGATGACATAGAGAGCGTTAAAGACCTAGGTAGCGCCTGCCCACAGAGAGAAACGTTTGAAGGGCTAGAGCGGGAATTTTGGTGAGGTCGGGTGCAGTGCGGAGGAAGTATCAATGAGATCAAATTGAAATTTAGTTTATGTGACCAGTTTTTCTTTTGAGATTCCTACCATTTCTGTTTTTCGTTGTAGTTACAGCACTTCTGATTTTTGGTACGTAAATGTCTGCCTAGGTCGAGAGACCCTACCGACATGCAACTATCTTCGAGAACATCAATTCCACATCAGTGTTATGCACAGTATCCAATCGTCTATACATTCCATCTAATTCTCTGCCTTATTGCCACCACACATTTTATGTTCAGTAGCAGCGAGCATGCAGCACGTACCACGTACCAAGAATGCAACCAAAACTCGAATCCAAAAACCAAAAAATACCCTCCCTTCTAACACATAAAACATAACAAAAAAATAGAAAGTAAAAGAGAAACAAATCAATCATCCTGCTCCGCCGCATCGTCCACCCCCCTAAGCCAAGCGCCCCTAGCATCAACCGCAGCCTTCCTAACATCGCGCTTCGGATCATCCAGCACCGTCCTCAACGCCCTAAGCACCTGACTCTTCACCGGCAACAGCGGCGACAGCTTACCCGCCTTAGCTACCTTTGGAGCATCGGCGGCACCGGAACCCGGCGTCTGCGCAAGCAAGAACAGACACTTGAGGGCATCGACGCGCAGTTTGGGTCCGTTCACGGCTCCAGTAGCTGGTGCGTGCTCCGCCGTCTTAAGGAGTCGAGTGACGAGGCTTTGCACGTGTCCGCACTCTTCGATCACGGTGACGCCGTTGTCGCGGATGATTACCGCGAGGGTTTCGAGGGTGGCGGCGCGGACGGGCTGGGTGTCGGCGGATTGGAGGTCCAGACTTTGAAGGAGGAGGGGGAGGAGGGTGGGGAGTTCGGGCATGACGAGGGTCGGGGGGATCGTGGAGAGGATGCCGGAGAGGGCGGTTAGGTGGGCAGGTTTGATGTGTGGTGATGTTGGTGCTGTGGTGGTGGTCGTGTTGCCGGCGACGTTGACTTCGCGGATGCGGGCGGAGATGAGTGGGGTGAGGGTGGTGAAGACGCGTTGTTTGGAGAGGAGGCGGATGTTGGCGTGGTTGGTTGGGGAGAGGACTTCGTCGTCTTTGAGGAGGATGGCGAAGCCGCGGGCGGCGGTGGTGCTGGTGGTTTCGGAGGAGGAGGAGAGGAGGTTCAGGAGGGTGGTGAGGATTTGGGTGGTTTTGGGGGAGAGACGTAGGATGAGGGCTTTGGAGAGCCAGAAGAGGGTTTTGATGGTGGGGGTGGTGAGTTGGGGGTCTTGGGTGGTTGGGGGGAGGAGGGTGTCGAAGAGGGAGGTTGCGAGATCGAGATCTTCCTTGTTGAGGTGCTTGTTGATGTAGAGGGCTAGATGGCGGAGGAAGGCCAGTTGGGTGGCGGTCTCGGTCTCGGTCGTGCAGCGGGTTGCGATGTCTGTGAGGAGGTCGGACATCACGGGGGGTGTGCAGGGGGGCAGGTTCTTCGTGTCTTGGGGGAGACTGGCGAGGAGGTAGGTCGAGAGGATCATGGTGCGGCGGTGGCTGTCGGTTGGGGAGGGCGTGAAGGGCACCTGTTGGAAGCCATCCGCTGAGGCGAAGAGGGTGTAGATGTTGGAGACGACTTCCTCGTGCTTGCTCGGTGGGAGGGATCTGATGATGACGTTGCATAGTCTTCCGAGGACATCAAGGACGGTAGCGTCGGTTAGGATGTTGTTCGGGGCTTTGCCTAGAGCTGCTGTTGCCGCGCTGCGGCACAGGCTCACGACGATCTTGTCGTAGTAGAGGTCCAGGTTCGGGGTTTCGTCGAGTTTCCTTTGGTTCATGACATAAAGGATAGTCAAGAGGATGGCTCTGGGGTAGTCCACGGACCCTGGGTCTTCCTTCTGCAACAGTATACTCAACTTGCTGAGCAGACGACGGACAAGAGTGTCGAAGATATCCCTCTCGACACTGATTTGTGCGAGAGTCTCGAGGGTGGTGATATACCCAGGGTTCGACCCATCGTCGGAGTCAGGAAGCGTGGCCACGAAAGCAGGGAATGTGATGTCCAAGATCAGACGCGGCTTGTACTTCGAGATTTCAGTCAGGGCAGCGATGGCTTCCTTCTTCAGATCGTCACGACCGACCGATTCCTCCTTGAGGAGGATTTCGTCAAGGTATTGTACGAAGAGTCCGACTTCGTTGTCTTGGAAGTAGTTGCGCAAGGTAGACAAGCGCAAGAATCCCTTCAGGGCGGAGGTACGGAACGAGACTTCCTCCTTGATAACACCCATGAGCGCCTGGCCGAAGATGTCCGAGAACTGGTCCTTGAATTCGAGCAAAGGGTTGCTGAGACTAGGCTCCGAGTCCCGCGATGTCCATGCGCCATATACCTGAATAGCAGAATCGAAGAGAACGGTCAAAGTATCTAGCAGAGCTCTCTGCTTGGCGATTCCATCAGCTTCCTGGTAGATCGTCAAGAGTGGCGCGACGACGGTTTGCACAATGAGCGTGAATGAGGCTGCGGACGCTGCAGAAGTGGAGCTGAGGATCTGCTGAGCAGGCTTCGCCTGCTTTTGCTGAGGCTCCTGCAATTGCTCGCTGCACTCCTTGGTAATCGGACGCAAGAACTGTGCAAGAGGCAGCTGATCGGAGACCTGTGTGACACCCTCCGACAAGCGCTGCGCAATACTGCTCAAGACCTGAAGAGAGAGCTCAGAAAGGAACTCCTCCTGGGCATTGAGGATCTCGAATTTCAGAGTCTCCCAGATGGTGATCGAGTACTTGGACACGGTGTTTGGATCGTACAGCTTGACGCAAGCAATGAGTGCGTTGAGTGCATCTTTCTATAGGAACGTTAGAACGCATGAGGGCCGCAGTCTTGTCAACACGTACCTTGACGTTGGGCGACGTAGAGTCAAGCTTATCCAACAGAGAAGGGACAGCGTGCTGAGCAAAAAGACTATTCGCCGAAATGCAGTCTTGCAAGCGGTCCTTCAAGTCCTGAGCAGTGATACCGTAGGGATCATTCGGCGGAGGCCTGAACGTAATGGGGAAGTAGTTGTAGACAGAGTCGAACAGAGCCTTCACATGTCAGTTATCAAAAGACCACAACCACACCACATGCAATACATACTTCAGCATGGTTGGACACATCCCACTCCACCATCACCACCTTGAGGATCGAGAAAACCAGCATCAAGTTGCGCGGATCCTTCTCGCCCGTCATCAGATTCACTATTCCCACCAGGGACTCGTCACCCATATCATGGAGGGCTGCACCATCAGTCAATTCCCGCAAATCAAGACCGAAGGAAGTATGGATGGTAGAAACGCACCGGCACGATGATTGATCATCAATTCGTTCAGCAATTGGTAAACCTGGAACCTCTGAGACTGCGAGCGAGACTGTAGCTCCTCAAAGCGCTCGAAGACACTGCACATGTCAGCTACACATCCCGTCCGCGATCGACGCATGACCTTATCAATATCAGATGCACTCACGCCCGCGCAACCTCCTCAGCCAACGCCTTATTGAACCGATCCAGCTTCTGCAAGGTCTCCAACCCAGCGACAGCTCCTCCATCCTCAATCCGTTCGCAGAAGAAAGTCGTCAGAACCTGAATCTGTTGTCTCGACAGGAACTTCGGGGGAAGCGCCCTGATCACGGCCGTGAGGTAGGAAACGGCCTTGCCGCGCAGAATCGGGTCCTCGTCATTGATGTACTCTCCTAGCGACTGCACGACTTCGATGAGCGTGATCTTCTTGGTCTCCACATCTTTTTGTCCCCAGCAAAAGTAGTTAGTCCCAGTCCATCATCTATCAATCTGCTGCAGCGGCGGCGGCGGCGGGGGTGCATGGGAACATCAAACATAACGTACCTTGAGCAATTCGTTCCGCGATCTGCTTGGCTTCCTGCTTATCATGGTCCACGACCAGCAGAAACGTCTGCAACGCCGACATCTTGTGACAGGTGAGACGTCGGAAATCGCAGATGAGGGGCAAATGGAGGGGGAGGGGGAGGGGAAGGGGGAGGAAAGAAAGCAACTAGTCAAGTGCCTCAGTCTATCTTCTCCGCGACCGGAACATGACGCCGTTTGTGGCCCGCCCATTGATTGCCCTTATCGATAGGCATCACGTGCTACTACATTGACCATATTACTCTCCAGCTATTACAAAGTCCCTACTCCATACTAACAGTACTAATTAGTTAGTTAGCTGTTGGCCGTTGCGTCATCCCCCAGTCCGGCTGACAGGCCGATCACCTCCACCACAATACCATACCACCTAATTATCACATAATTTAATCTATATAAAAAGATCCCCAATATCAAAATGACCAAGAAACCTTTCTTCCTCATAGCATCCTCCCTAACCCTAATCATAATCATCCTCACCACTTTATCAACAGCCACCAACAGCTTCCCACTCCGAAAACGTCTCCCCCGTCCCTTCGTCTCCGCACCACACCTCCGTCACGACCTCCACCTCCAAGACTCCACCACCAACAACAATCCCTACCTCTCCGAGATAAAAGAGTGGCTATCCCAGCAACTACCCCCCTCCACCAACAACAACAAAATGGGCAGCAACCCCTCTTCCTCCTCTCACGAAAACCCCATCATCTCCGACGTGCTACCCAAGAACCGTCTCATCAACGTCTACGCCTCGCTAACCCGGCAATTCGACAGTGTGGAATCCCGCTTCAATGATCCCTCAAGCAACGTGACGGTCCTGGCACCGCGTAACAGCGCGATCCAGGACTTGCCGCGCAAGCCGTGGGAGAATCCTGAGGATTATGAGCGGTTTGGACAGGCCGGGGCGTATGAGGGTGATGAGGGGCAGGATCGGGCTAGGAAGAATCTGGAGAGGTTTGTGAAGGCGCATGTTGTTGTGGGGAGTCCTTGGGGAGAGGGTGATGAGGGGGTTACCCTTGCTGGGGAGAAGGTAACGTGGAATAAAGGAGAGGGGGGGAAGATTTATGTATGTTCTTTCTTCGTCTTCTTTTCCGTTGCTTCTGGGATTGGTGATGCTGACTGTTGGTGGTAGATTCAACCGGGGAATGTGGAGGTGGATAGTGTTGCTGAGAAGGTGTCGAATGGGGAATTGTGGATTTTGAATGGGGTCGTTAATTATACTTAGGTCCTGGTGGCGGACTGTCATGGTTATATTTATGTTTGTGATGTTGATGATGATTTCATGATTGATGGATGCCCGGATAAGGTCTCGTGGCAGAAGCTACTATTAATGAGGACATTCGCGTCTTACTACTTACTACTCACGTTCTGCACTTATATTACTAGTATGTCATATTGATATATCTGCACTTCATCTAATATATTCAACAAGTAGAGTCCAAACACACCCATAAGCCAGACCAATCGTAACCTAATAGCTTTTCCTTCCCGCGTAATGAGCGAGCACTCTCTCCTCGACACCATCCAGAATGCAAAAGTGCTCAATGACCTCCAGGTTCTCAGCCTCACTCTGGTACAACTTATCGGGATCCTGGCCCGGCTGGAACGGGTTGATCCCAGCAGCAGGGTTCATCGAAGCCATCTGCGAAGCCATGTGGTTGGCCGCTAAAGCAAGACTGTCAGCACACTCACATCAACCTGATGGATAAGAAAGCACATCGAACTAACCATTATCACTACCCAAAATAAACCCAAAGACCGACTGCAGGCCAAACAAGTTCAAGAAATACCACGAAAGACTGGAAACCCATCTAACATCCAAATCCCGGGTCATAACACCAGACTGCAGCATCGACTTGAATCGAATGGTAAGCGGGAAAGGCAATTTCACTAGTAGCACTCATGTCAGCTCATCCCCCCCTCATAGTGTATCAGATAAGCCCTACAGATCACAAATCCCGAGAAGAAAGCATTAATCCAGCTCATAATCAGCGTCTGCGGGATCATCATCATCATATTCCCCTTCATCATGCCCATCATGGCCTCCATGCCAGCAGGATCGGTCATGGGGTTCGCAGGTGGCTGGCCGCGACTAGCGGGGTCCTTAAGGAAAGCACCACTCTGGTAGGCAGAGACGAGGTAGTTCTTGCGCATCTCAAAGGACTCCTTGGAGAGTACGGAGGAGTTATTCCGGAGGTTGACACCGCGAATGAGTCCGAGGCGTTCGCGGGATTCGGCCAGCGTCGAGGCCGGCTTCGGGGGGTTGTTCATCAAGACGGTGGCATAGTGGCGGAGGATACCAGTAAGAATCTAATGGATGATAACATTAGCATATATGCTAATCACCAATGGAGTAGATGAGGTTCACATACCATAACAACAGTGATAGGGAACACAATCCAGTAGCTAGAGGTGCGAGTCGATCACATCAGCATTTCGCATCAAACGGCGCCCAGTGCCTAGCAATAAACTCACAAAAGAGCCGGATCCCGAAGGATCGTCTGCTCAACGCCTTGCAGAGCCATCTTGAGCAGAATTGAATAAGATTAGGTGTGGTCTAATCCCTCGAGTTGTGGTTCGGAGGCAGAGAAAGACACACGGAGCTCCCCACGGAAGTTGGATGGGGCGGCGCGGCGGGCTGGCTGACTTGACTGACTGACTTGCCTTGGCGCATGCCATTGCCGCCGCTTTAGCTTGCGAAAGGGACAGCTCGCCGCAACTCTTCCCGCGGCTTAGATCAGAGCTCCACGAAGTATTCTTCCACCTTTTCCTGAATTATTTTACATTGAAAAGCTGGGGGTATTAGTACTTTATCTTGTCTTATTTGGCTTGAAAAATAATTTCCCAGATGGCGTCCTCAGAAGTCCAAAAAGTGCCCGTTTACTCGGTCAATGGTTAGTTCGCGATAAACATCACTATTACTACATACATCCATATTATGACTACGACGCAATACCTACTACCCTCGCGGTATTATGTACCGTATCCACGGAGATAGCTAACTATTTTATCGAACAGACATAAAATCAACAACCGATGACGCCCTAGCTCCCTACCTCGGCTCCCTCCCTCAACCCTACACCTTCGCCCAAGACCACACCAAGACCAATGTCCACTTATTCCTGGGCTACGCTGCCGTCGCAATCGCCGGTTTCAGCTTCTATGCTGAACGCAAGCTCAACTGGGAGGCGACACATTCACCATGGATCATCGCAGCCGTGCTGTCATACTTTACCTTGAACTCGCTCCTCACGTACTGGGTTTGGGCTGTTGAGGCGGGTGAGGTATTCCGTGGGAAGCGGAAGTCGGGTGAAACGGTACGTTTCAATATCACTGAAGGTGGGTTAGTTCGGCTGTGGGCTAATACGATATGCTAGATCATCATTCGGTCCTCCGTGCAGAAGCACTCTCCCTTGTACAAGCTGCGGGTCCAGTATAAGTCGGCGCAGGGCAAGACGCTGCAGGAGAAGGAGATCGAGACCTCGTTCACTAAGTGGTTTGCTGCGGATGGGACATTCTACCCCGAGCCTTTAAGGGCCTGGCTGGCTGGTGAGATTGAGGTTCTGGGGTTGGCGGCCAAGGAGACGCAGAAGAAGACTGGGGGTGTTGCGAGTTTAGTAGGTGTTGAGGAGGAGAGCAAGGACGTTAAGAGGAGGAAGTGAAATGTATATGGGGTGCTGATTGTGGATAGTCTAGTGGGTTGGAAAGGAAATTGGAGTTTATTGACCTTGATTGCATTAGTTTTCTCTTCTTTCCAGAAATGAAAGTGTGTCTTGTTGTTCAGGATTTCAGTCATAACATGAACGTAGGGAATCATATATTGACAGAATATATGTATGTTCATTTCATCTCCCACACGTGGAAGGGTTCAAGAGACGAGAACCAGGGAATAATTGACCAAAATGAGGCATAGGTTTTGTCTTTTTTATACAAGAATGATTGGGTCGCATGATATATGGCTTCAGTGGAAAGATACAATAGAAGAAGTGGAAGTAAAAAGGAATCTATGACTGGCTCTTCTTAATTCGTCTCCCGTGGCACGTTTTAGAGAATATCGGTTGTAGTGTAGGATGGTTAGTTAGCGGCTTCCAGGGTTCCCGGACGCTCGGTAGCTTCAGCGGGCTTCACGTCATCCACACGGCTGTTCTGGATGAGTCTCTGCAGGACATTGTTAGTGGATGAAGTTGCTTCGGCGAAGATATAAAGTAATTGCTTACCAGCAAGTTGCGCATCAGGACGACAATGGTGACCTTTCCGATGGAAGGAACGAAGATGGAGGCCTTCTCCTTGACCTCAGGTCCAAAGTTCTGTTCACACCCTATGTTAGCCTTTGGAATGAAGTATTATTTATGTAAATGGCTGTGGAACATACCTTCTCGCTGGAGAAGTTGACACACACAGCACCCTCTCTCAGAAGGCTGGTATCGAACTTGTACTTCTCTCCAGGAACACCAGAAATAACAACATCACACAGAGGTGCCACATCCTTCAGGGTCTTACCCTCCAGGTCGACAACCTCGTGTCTGCCCTTCTTCAGACCCTCACCACGGGTGAACTTCTGAACGCCGGTGATGTCGACACTGTAGACGCAGGCACCGTCGTTGGCCAGCAGAGCAGCGAGAGGGCGACCAACCACCTCAGAGCGGTTCACAACACAGATAGTGTGTCCGAAGAGGCGGTTACCGTACGGCAATATCGTGTTGTAGATGTTGAGGTATTCGAGGATCTTAATGACAGCGAGGGGGGTGCAGGGGAGGATGCACTTCTGTCTCTTGGTCTCGGGGTCAAGGAAACGAATGTTCTGGTACATGTTGAAAATGTAACGGTGGCTCAGACCCTCTACATCCTTATTTATGTCGACGATCTGCTGCAGGTACTGGTCCTGGCGGTTGTTGAAGATGGGGTAGTATACGATGATGCCGTTGACATCGGAGTCGGCGTTGGCAGCGAGGATAGCTTGCTCGAGATCATCGCGGGCAACTTCACGGAGGGAGTAGCGGAAGCCACTGTGCAATGGATAAAAAGACTACGTTAGCTACGAAGTGACATCCCACAATACTGCCTGCGTGCCAGGAGAGCTCCGACATCGCAGGGTTGAGTCATATGCGCGCCGAGGGGCCACCAGACGCAGTAACCACAGGGGCACGACGGACGCAACTGGGAGTGAAAATTTGGGAGAATGCTCACTTTTCCTGACACGTCTTCTCCGTCATCTGGGCATACATCAACGCCGCGGGGTCGTTGTTGGCAAGGAATCCCACCAAGTGAGGCGGCTTCTCCAGGGTATGGACGCCCTCCTGGACCTCCGCAAGCAGGCGATTGGCAACATGCTTGGAGAGCATGACCTTGCAAGAGGCCGGGACCGAGTCAGAAGTGGTAGCCATCTTTGCGAATGGGAGGGAAGAATGATTCGAAGCAATTGGGATGGGAGGGAATACACTCTCTACTTCAAGGTGGGCTATGGCGGAGGGGCATTAAAAGAAATTTTGGGACGGAAAAGGCTGCTCGCTTATCGATAAACGCAATGCCCGCATTCGGCCCATCCCATCGGCTCCAGACGGCGAGCAGCACAGCTTCATCCAGTATCCATTCCCCGCAAATTTACTGGGACGATTGTCCCTTGGTTCCCCAGATGGTATGGCTCTGACATCAGATTGCTGGCTATATGACATTTACACAAATGGACCCCCGTAGTGCTTGCGGTTTTCAACCCCAGATCATCTACCCTAGTTTTATGTCCACCACTTCGACCGGGGAAGAAGGCGCCACCCGGCAATGAGACCCCAATGGCTTCTATATATATCCCACTACTTGACCCTCATTTAATGCCATGGGTTTGTGCTGGGTCGAGTTACCCCAGACTGGCCGCTATGACCGCCAGATCAAAGCTGGAGCGTTTCAGTGGTTCAACTATCAGATCAACTACTACTAAGAGACTACTTCATACGCACCCGTCAGAGTACCAAGTTTAATCGAACAAAGGAAATCATATTCAGGCTGCATATATGTAGACAAAGGTTTCATAAGCCGAGACCAGCTGGAAGGTATTACACGCCAAACCAGTTAATCCGTCCAATTCCGTTCCCTTTGTCGCGCGAAATGATCTAAACGTACAGGATATTAATCGTATCTTTTTTGCCTTTCTCCGCACCACCGCTTTACCCTGCTCTCCGTCGTCCCATAAGCTACATAGATCTGGCAGTAAAATATTCATCGCATAGTTGCAAACTACACCTCATCCAATATCTCGACCGACCCGAAGCTCTGGTTTAACAGAAAAAAATAAAACAGTGGGTTCAAATTGTACAAGCTATCTTGTCTATACACATAGAGTCAGGATTGATTCGGTACATGGCGGGCTATTCGCCCAAGAGCATTGTGTTGCTCACCTATGCGTTGAAGGACTTGTTGAAGGTGGGGATGATCTCCTTGAGCTGAGCCTCGAGCTCCTTGCTGACCTGGCCCTCCTTCTCGATGGTCTCCTGGATCTCGGGGTGGTTGCTCTTGAGGTGAGCAAGGAAGTCAGACTCCCACTGGAGGATCTTGGCGACGGGGATGGAGTCGAGGAAACCGTTGACACCAGCGAAGATCAGGGGAACCATGTCGGAGACGGCCATGGGGGAGTACTGCTTCTGCTTGAGGAGCTCGGTAAGACGCTCACCACGGTTGAGGGTCTGCTTGGTGGAGGCATCGAGATCGGAACCGAACTGGGCGAAGGCAGCAACCTCACGGTACTGAGCCAAGAACAGCTTCAGGGAACCGGCGACCTGCTTCATGGCCTTGACCTGGGCAGCGGAACCGACACGGGAGACGGACAGACCGACGTTAATGGCGGGACGGATACCCTTGTAGAACAGCTCAGACTCCAAGAAGATCTGACCGTCAGTGATGGAGATGACGTTGGTGGGAATGTAAGCGGAGACATCACCACCCTGGGTCTCAATGACGGGGAGGGCAGTGAGGGAACCACCACCGTGCTTCTCGTTCATCTTGGCGGCACGCTCAAGGAGACGAGAGTGGAGGTAGAAAACGTCACCGGGGTAGGCCTCACGACCAGGGGGACGACGGAGCAGCAGGGACATCTGACGGTAGGCGACGGCCTGCTTGGAAAGGTCATCGTAGATGATGACGGCGTGGCGGCCGTTGTCACGGAACCACTCACCCATGGCACAACCAGTGAAGGGAGCAAGGTACTGCAGAGGAGCAGCCTCGGAAGCAGTAGCAGCAACGACAATGGAGTACTTCATGGCGTCGTTCTCCTCGAGGGTCTTGACGAGCTGAGCAACGGTGGAACGCTTCTGACCGACGGCAACGTAGATGCAGTAAAGCTTCTTGCTCTCGTCGGAGGTGTTGTTCCAGCGCTTCTGGTTCAGCATGGCATCAAGGGCGACAGCGGTCTTACCGGTCTGACGGTCACCAATGATCAACTCACGCTGACCACGGCCGATGGGGACCATGGAGTCGACACACTTCAGACCAGTCTGGACGGGCTGGTTGACGGAGCGACGGGGCAGGATACCAGGGGCCTTGAGCTGAGCACGGCTCTTGACCTTGGTGGGGATGGGGCCCTTGCCATCGATGGGGTTACCGAGAGCGTCGACGACACGGCCGAGCATCTCAGGACCAACGGGGACATCGACCTAGATGATTTTTGTAAGTAAAATTGCTGATATCTGGGCGTGAAAAAACAGGATTACATACAATCTCTCCGGTACGCTTGACAGTCTCACCCTCCTTGACGAGACGGTCGGAACCGAAAAGCACGACACCGACCTGGCCGGCTTCGAGGTTCATGCACATACCCTTGACGCCAGAGGCGAACCTAATGATTTGTCAATTGATTGGAACATAAACAAGACATATATAAAAAAACGGGGGCACCTACTCGACCAGCTCCTCAGCCTGGACGTTGGTCATGCCATGGACACGAGCGATACCGTCACTGTTTTTGATATTAGTTTCAATTGATTTCGATGGAGAGCGTCAAATAATGGCCGGATTTTCGAATATTTCGATGATATCGATGGAATTGAAGCGGCGGCCAAAATTTTCAACCGAGGGAGAATTCGTCACGTACCCGACGGAAAGGACACGTCCAGTCTCGGCAAGACCAGCCTCCTCCTGAACACCACGGATTCTCTGCTCAAGGATGGAAGAGACCTCAGTGGGAGAGGCCTTGGCCTCAGCAGCGTAGGAACGGATCTGCTTGGAGGCGCCAGAGAGGGGGCCGGGAACAGCCGCGCGAGCCTGTAGTCGTACGCAAAATTTGTCAACATCACGACCACGCAGTCAAAACGCGTAAAAGCGAAGCAGGAAGCATTGCGATGTGTAGAGAGGCGATGGCAAGCATCATTGAGATGACTTCTTGGATGGAATCGGCCAGATGGCGAAGGTATGGTCGACCTGGACAGGGATAGGACTCACCGAAGCGATCCTGCCAGTGGCAGAGGCAGCCGCGACGGTGCGGCTAGACTGCCGCAAAGCGTTTCTGAACATTGTGATGGGGGTTCAGAGGAGTGGGAGAGTGGTTTCTCTGAAGGAGAGATGTAATTGGGGGGAGGGAGGAAGAGGAGAAAGGATTGTGGATGGATGGAAGGAGAGCTTTGTCGTCGGGGTTGGGAGGATTCTCAGGACTGCCACTAATCCTAGTTTGCCGAGACCTCACCAACCTCCGAAGCCGCCCTAGTGCGCTCACGGGACACCCACCCACCCCAAAGAAACTCGTTGCCGGGTGATGTATTCCATCACTTTTTGTCTACTATTTTTTCCCACCGATCTACTACTACATTATTTTTAGTCCATAAATTTATTATTATTAGTTCCCCTACACTTTCAACCCTTTTCATAAAAAATTATTATGGTAGGGAATTGTTAACATTGTTGCTCTAAAGTTGACGGGGGTTGTGAGGGAAAGCGGTAACCGCTTGTTTCTCCGGGCCACCTGGCCATCCCATTTTTCATTTGTTCCTTTTCTCGGATCTGCGGATACTGCTGGTTGGCTGGCTTACTCAGTTCATTTTCGTCGCAGCAACCGCCCGCAGGGCCCTGCCAACAACAACCCGCCCCGTTCTGCTCGACACCGCACTCACTCACCTCACTGCTTTGACCGGTTGTCCCGGTGGGAAACACCGGCTCGACATGGGCCCTTCCCATGGCTGCGACCAACTGGTTCGTTCGTATGTTACCGCTACCCAGCATATACCTCCTCTTTTTCTCCTCCTTCTGCCCGTCAAGTCCAAGACTTGTCCCAAACTTTTCCCCTCTTAATTATATGTAATTTGTCTCTCGTTCTCCTCTTCTTATGCGCATGTTGTATGACACAGAAAACCCCCTCTTATATTCACATACCAACCATACCCGACCTTTTTCCTATTTCCCCTTCCCCATTTTTTCTCCTTACAGTCCTCACTACCCAGGTTCCTACTCCGTACTTCCGGGGCTTACATCATGATCCACTTTGGATGCATGAATGTCAGGCCTGCATCAACATCGATTTATTCAATCATTTTGGTAAAATTCGCTCTTCATTAATAATTGACTCCAAATACCGAAGTAGTATGATATTATTACTGTAGCGCTGACAGACATTGCACTCTGCAAACATCAATCTCAAAACTCCAGAGGTACCAAAAACTAATGCTAAGGAAGAGCAATGCTCTCAATTCGAATCATTGACATGGCAACATAACTCGCAGCAAAATCACCGCTACTAGCCATGCAACTCCCATGTAAAAATAGAGATCGGGTCATCCTACCATATAGCTTTACAGCACTTATTTGGCAGTCTTGCCCTTCTGCGCCTTGAAAGCTGCAATCTGCTTTTCCACATTCTGATCGTATCTGGCCTTCAGCTCCGGACGGTAGCCGAAGAAAAAGAGCACTTCCATCCAGACGAAGAGAGGTGCCAGAAGAAGCGCCTGGACGAGGTTGTCCAGCAAGGCCGGAGCTCTGCGCTCAAAGGCACCATGGCCGACAAACTGAGCCAGCCAGGACACTATATGGATTCCAGCAAACCAATAGTTGGCGCTGCTGCCATACGTAGCGAGTAGATGGTTCGCCCAGGCTGCACCCGCGATTATAAGGGGAGCGACCAGTGCCCCTGCAACAGGTTCGAGGAGGATGTAGAACGTGGAGTATATGATGGCTGCGATCGTTCCGAGATTAGGAGGAAGGTTTTGGATCTGCAGCGCATCGGGCAGATTCACGAAAGCCGGTGTGTTCGACGCCTAGTAGATTCATAACACGTTAGCGGTCCATCGCTATGAAGGGTTGAGGGAATAGCAGTTCGTACCAGAGCGATTCCGGTGAACAAAAGTATCGGCACGCATGTGATGTGTATCGCAACATTTACCTGGACGGGACCATTAGACCAAGCCGCAAATGGGGCAAATAGCATGGCATACTGGGTTATTGTGATAGGCTCCATACTGCGACACTCGTTAGCATGGAAATCTTGCGCCAAACACTGAACACTGTGATAGGTGTTGCGGTAGAGGCTTACAAACAGAAGCTGCTTTTCGAGATTCAAGGCCATCCTGGAATGCTATTACTGCTATGGCTCGAAAGTCCGATGTAGATGGGCGCAACAAAAGAATAACGGTGAGCGTGAGACCAGCTCCTTTTTTTCTTGTTTCTTGTCTGGGGATATTGCCTGATCTGACCCGATCAGCAGGTGGAGAGATAGGACATTCTATGATTTGTTCCTGGCTTTATGCTTGTGCAGACGTCATCCCGGCCTAGGTAAACTCGTTGCACAAAGGCAGGACCGAGGATATCGTGATTAATTACACGTTGCGTCTCGTCATGACCGGCAGTGCGCGGAGCTACACTCTAGGGGCTCTGTAATGGAGTATGGTTTTGTAATTAATGACCATCGTGGGGGTGCTCTCCAGACAGTCACGTGAGAGCATCCAGCTCGAGCTGATCAGACGGAAATCCGTGACCGCTATGAGTTTGGTGTCGAATTAACGGGTGACTGCCCCTTCTTCTGTCCGATTTTGTTTGAAGGCAGGGTTTATCTGCTGCAATTGCTCTGTTCTGCGCTCTTTATCCTGAACGCGCGCTCCCTTCTTCTGTTGACTTGCTGAATCAGTTTTCTGGTCTTCCCAGTCGTTGATATCTTGTCATCAAGTATTGGCGGCAAGTGCTCGTCCATTTGTCGCAAACCTAGTTCATTCGCTTCACTCATTCATAGCGATTCAACTTACTCTGAACTAACGACACGGGCCACTCGAGATATTCGAACCGCACCATCCAATTCCCGGGAAGCAGTAAGATACTGGCTGAAGCTTGATCTATCGCGTAAACCGAACCCCCACCGCACCGGCTGTTGAACCAAAATTGTGTATCATACTCTCGACCATCAAAAGTCTACAACATGTTTTTCCTTAAAGAAGAGGTCAAGGTCATCACCTTGCACCCGTCCTACTTCGGGCCCAACATGCGCGAGTATCTCATCAACCGGTTAAACGAGGAGGAAGAGGGACGTTGTACGGGCGACCATTTCGTGATCTGTGTGATGGACATGGTTGATATTGGCGAAGGACGGGTGCTTCCAGGCAGCGGACAGGCAGAATATACGATCAAGTATCGGGCAATTATCTGGAAGCCCTTCCGCGGAGAGACCGTACGTTTTGGAGTCGCACTGAAACCGGGCTGCATTTGATTCTGACCAGAACCCTGTAGGTCGATGCGATTGTTACGTCTGTCAAGCCCACGGGTATCTTTACTTTGGCCGGTCCATTGTCTGTTTTCATTGCACGGAAAGTATGTCGACGACCGAGTTTGAGTTGGGTCACCTAGCCTTGTCGGATGCTAACAAGTTGGCAAGAACATTCCTTCCGATATCAAGTGGGAACCGAACACAGTACCGCCGCAATACACAGACCATGCGGACCAAGTCATCGAGAAGGGGACCAGTTTACGGCTTAAGATTCTCGGTGTGAAGCCCGACGTTGCGGCGATCAATGCCATTGGAACGATCAAGGAAGATTACCTCGGGTGAGTTTCCCAACCTCTCTGGGGATTAGTTTCTGATGCAGATGTACTGACGTTTTACTTTCCTTTTCCTAACCAGACCATTGTAATGCCTTTTGTGATGTGCCGTTAACCTCCACCATTTACCCTAATGATTGATATCGCGTGACTATTGAAAGGATCGTTGATACCCTTTCCTTACTCTACAATTTCTCACACAAGAACAACCATGTTGAAAGAATTCTGCCTTGCAAGGAGGTGCGCCCATGGGTAGAATGATGAGAGCGCGCCCAAGGCGGGAGTCTTGGGCTTGGATATCATCCACCGGCATGATATCGTGCCTTTTCTTTGCAGAAACCCGCGCAGGCGAACGGGACTGACTGATTGCTGCGAAACCAGGCACTAAATGCACCTGAGAAGAAAAACCACGACCGGGGAGGGCATAGGATCTCCCATGCCAGTGAGGAGGATAGCTATATGTGTGTATATCTAAGGCGGACACTTCCGAATTTGGCTTGCCGGACTGAAGGTCTAAAATAAAATAAAGAAAGACGAACTAATTTATAGATGAAAGACCACGACCAGTTCTGGACCTGAGTCTAATAGTATCTAGACTCCCGGTACTCCCTACTACTTACATAGCCAAGCAAGTATACGTAGTGCAGTGCAGTGCAGTGAGCCGAATTATGCAGACAGGCAGCATGAATAAAGAACCCAGCCGAGCCCAAGCGCAGTTGCCGGAGAGACGCGGGTAGTTACTTAGTTACTTAGTTACTTAGTACTTACTAGTAGTTGGTGGCCCATCACGATTAGTGAAACGCTGGTGTGTCCATCGTCGGAGCCGTGCGCGTGGCTCATTTGACTTTCCCCAGTCCTTAGCGTCGTGGGAGATTTCTTGCGAGATTGTGATGGACCCGAATAGATTCAGGAAAGCCATGGACTGCCATGCCCCCAGAGTTAAAGACACATGTCTATTTGATCATCGTCACTCTTAGTAGCAGTCTACTGTGCCGGATGGCAAACCAAACCCCATAGTTGGATTGGCCATACATTCTCATTGGAAGAATGCCTCTTCATCAATCAATTGGTGGTGCAGTTGGTAGTAAGTGGTTAGGTATAAGAATAGCTCACGGTGAATCCGCCAGACCCCCCCCCTTTGGAGAAGTCAAATTTGTAGTTGTGAATCTGGCCCTTATAATAATAGTAATAATCATAATAATCATAACAACAACAACAACTAAAGTCAAACACCCCCGTGGCGATTGATTTCTCCCTCTGTTTGGATTTAATTTCTGCTTGCATTCCTGTTCTCTCAAGTCTCACATCCTCAGCACATTCATTCATTTATTTACAAAATTCATTACAATTACTCTAGTCCAGGCTTACTCTGTACTCTGTACTCTGTGATTGGAAAGTTAATCGGGTTCTGAAACGTGGTTCGCGCCAATCTGCAACGGGCGGTTTCCCCTTCCTCTCACTTTCCCTCGGCCTGTCATCAAACATCCACATCCATCCATCCCTACTACTCACTCTCTGCCCGTGTTTTGTCCTTCCTTTACCCCAACCCAACACTCCCTCCCCCCTCACATTCGTTTCTGACATATTAATCCACTCGAATCCACCATGTCTTTGAAAGACGTGTACCAGCGCTTTCTGGCTAACCCAGCTTCGGCGCCCCTGGCCTCCAATGCGTCCTTGATCTATATCACCACCACCACCAAGCTGGATGGCGCATCGGCGGTGGTCAGCCACCTCACCAAGCAGCAGAGAATTGTCAAGACCAGGTCGGAAAACGTTCTGGATGTGATTGAGAGTGCCAACTCCCTCTGCTTGGACATTGAAACTACCCTGGAGTTTGTGTCTGGAGGCGGGGCCTATCTTCCCTCGCTGGACGATAACTTCCTGGCTGACCACGTCGCGACTTTCCCCACGGTACGTCGGGCGCCTTGTGACCTCCTTCTTATACTCTTCTTCTATACCTGTACTAACGCCGCGTTCTGTTTCTTGCGCAGGTCCATATCGTTCGCTTTAATTCGCAGAATCAGATCCAAAATGTCCGAATCTACTGGGACCAAGCGTCGCTACTGAAACAAGTCGAAGTGATCGGATCCCGCAGTCGCGGCTGGCCGATTCGCGAACCCAAGGATCAGATTCGCCTGATCAAGTCCGCTGTTTCCTCCAACCCAGTTGATGACGGACCTGCGTCTGCATCATTCCCTGCAACAACCGAGAGCAATGAGGAACGTAGCAAGAAGGGCTCCCCCGGAAAGAGACACATCAAGGATCCTCACGCCGCTGAGTCACTCTTTGAGCTCCTCTCCCCTGAAAAGGACCGGAGTGAGCCAGTCCGCGCACCTCGTGCTCCTGCATCTGCAAAGCCCCCACCCCGCGACCCCAAGGAAATCTTCCACGAAGACGCCGATATTCCCGACACGCCGTCTCGGAGTAGGATCGCTCCCAAAGCTGGTGCCAGCAAGAACTTCCAGCGCTCCCGGATCTTCGACGATGATGAAACCGTCGCTGCGGAAGGTGGTCACGAGCAGATTGCCTATCGGGCTAACCCGAAGCGATATGATCACTTTGAGCTCGGTGGGGACAACAGTGAGAGGGAGATCAAGGAAAAGCCCAGTCGTCCTGTGTCGCGCCAGGCGCCTCACTGGGACTTTGACGATTTCGTGACGCCCGAGAAGCCCAAGCGTCCGCTTCGTGGAGAGCAAATCCGTCACTTTGGCTGGAGCGATGATGAGCCGGACCTCACTTCGCCTCCCGCCCATCCCCCGGTGCACCGTCCCCGTCGCGATGCCGAAACCCACTTCGTCCTGACAGACGACCCCGCCGAGGACAAGAACGCCCCTCGTATCATCAGTTCCTTCCAGAACAAGGGACTGAGTCTCTATAAGAACCACCTATTCCAAGACGAAGAGGAAGCCGCTGATGAGAACGCTCCTCTGTCTGTTGTCAACAACGGCCCCAACCGCAAGAAGGACTACGAGACCCACTGGAACATCACCGCCGAGTCGCCCCAGAGCACCAAGGTCAGCTGTGAGAACGTGATGCCTGTTGGCGGAGATCGCCAGAAGGCTCTCAAGAACATGCAGTCGTCCTGGGATGACCCCGAGCAGTCGCCGGAGAAGGCGGCACCTCCTCAGCGTCGCGCCATGCGTCATCTCAACCAGCGTAGCTGGGACATGGGAGAGAACTGAATGATGTATTCCAATCATTCAATGATGAACGTCTACACCCACCTGTCTATCAGATTTACCGAACACTGGGCCTCCGCTCCTTACTCAAGTACTAAATTCATACAGCGACGACGAGTCTTCCACATCATGTTTCACTGAAGAGCGCACCCCGAAAAAGCCTGCATATGATACTTATTACCCGCCGTGAACGATAGCAGAGTCAACGCATGCACGGATCTATGATAAACCACATGTTCTGTTCTTGTTGTGTTTTTCGATTCAATTTCAGTTCCTAGCTGTGTATTTTGTTAACCTACAGTTCAATATGATTTTGTCTTATTGCTTATTTGATGTGTCTTCTTCGCTTCTTGTAAGAATTTTTCCACTGCTTGTCTTTCTTGTGTCCTTGGTTGCTTTGGTTCATTCATCGTTTTACATCACGCCTTATCTGTTAAATACCAGTAGTTGGCACATTCTGTATGCCCAGATCAATGAAATACCATACTCATGATCGATTGGCAGATTCGGTGATAAAAAGCATCGTATTTCACCCTAATGAAAATACTAATACGATGTGGAATACCAAACAATATATCCTTCAATCAAGTGTAGTTCTATCATCATAATATGTGACCATGTATCTCGTATTTGGCTCATTCTGGGTACATACAACCGTCACATATGATATGTACTACATGCATCCTCAAAAAAAAAGTATAGTAAATAAAAAAAAAGCAAAATATCCCCCAAAAGGGGTATGTATGTAAGAAAGGTATTTTTTGTGGGTCAAAAAAAAAAAAAAAAAAAAACAAATCTGGGGGGTGGTTCACTCAAAACATCAGATAGTAACTCAAGATAAACAAACCAAATCATCATCATCATCATCATCATCATCATCATCAATCATCCACGTGGCAAAGAGGCATGGTTTATCTCAAATCAGCAACTATCCAAATATCATAAGTAGTAGTTCTCATAAGCAACGTCCATCCGAACATCTTCTTCACATCCTAGATGTAGAACATAGTGTCGCTAACATTCGGATGGATCTTGACGTTCAGAAACTCCCGAGCAGAAGCGCCAGGGTCAGTGCCCGTAATGACACTTCCGGTTGGGGTTTCATCGAAGACTTTGCTAAGGTAGCACCGAGCTCTGGTGCAAACCAGGTCGGCGTAGTAGGCGGGCGGGCAGATGCTAACGGCTTTGGTGGCTCTGCCGAAGAGGTAGCAGAGTCGGTGGGTGAGGCCTTCTAGGATGTCTGCGGCGTTTTCGTATGGGGGTATGGCCTTCTCTCGGCAGAAGACCTCGTCCCAGACGGTAAAGTAGTGGGCTGGGCGAGCGGTACCCTTCAAAGCAGTGTGAGCCTGCAGGTAGAACTCCCAGTTGCGGGCTTCGGTGACGCCGCGGTCGACGACGGTGCCGTTTTCCGGGTTGCCGAATTTGTCGGCGTCCTCCAGCTTGGTTGGGTAGAAGCGTGTGTGGTGGCGTTTACCTACGATCACGATCGAGATGCGAGGAAGACCTTTGGAGGTGTCGGTGGCGGGATATACTTCCTTGCATGCTTCTTTGAGGAGAGGGAGTTCGCGCTGCACCACGAGCTCGTACTGGCCTTCGGAGACTCCGTCGCGGTAAACGATGATGTTCTCCGGGTAGGTCTTCCGGTTACGAACCCAGCGCCGAAGGTGGGCCTTCAGCATGGTGTCGAGTTCAGCGACCATTTCTTCCCTAGGCTTTTGAATCCGGAGTTCTGCTGGCCATTGGCCGAGAGTCGAATCGATTGAGGCAACCATCCCAGCAACACTAGGGGCTGCGGAGGAAGACCCAGGGGACGGGTGAGTGACGTCCACCCCGACGAGCATAGTCTTGTTTTGTCCAATGAGGCCTAGCTCTTTGGGATCAATCAGCTGGTTGTTTCCTCCCAGCTTGAGGTTGAACTTGAGCCCGACGTTTGCCCAGTACTGATCATTGTTAGGCTTTCTGAATTTGTCGGCAACGACGTTGACATTGCGGACGCCGTGCGTCAAATCGCAGGCCCTCTTGACAATATTATAGATATCAGCGTCGTTGCTCGGAAGGACCGTCAGTATGAGCATGGGCTTGTGCTTCTCAATGAGCTCGGCAACGGCTCTGTCGATGGCCTTTGTATTATACTCTCTAATCTCCTCATCATATCCCCTCCTCGTCAAAAGTAGAGTTTGTCCAGTCTTTGGTGGGCTGGCATTCACGCCGATCTCGTTCAACTTGTCCGTAAAGCCTTTGAGGTTGGCGCTCAAGTCTTCGGGCCTGATGGCCGGATATCTCGCGCCTTCGTAGTCCAAGGCAAGCCAAGTCCAAGAAGGCAGCTTCGTGGACGTTGAAAACCGAATCGATCTCATGTTCCAACTTCCTGAGAAGGGCTTGATTTGCTTTTGACTCGGCTTGCTCTCATCCCTGTACAGAACGCTAGGCGCCGGTAGTACTCGTCCAGGTACGGTTATTAGCCGAGGATCATTCTGGATTCCGAAGTCCACCTGAACACAGACGTTAACAAAGCACTCACAACAGCTTTGGAGAGATACTCACGAGGGTGGGATTTGGTGACGCTCCCAGACCCAACACTTCTGTCCCTTGCGCCACAATTGATTGAGCATTTTGCGGTGGGCCTCGCACAGCAAAGTTTAGCATGTTCCGCGTTTGGTTAGGTGTAAGCTTGGTGTTAGCCTGCTGACCAGGCACGACCTCACACACTTCGACGGGCAGATAGCTCGGATTCTCTCGAGTGCCGACGTTCACTACGGGCATCTTTGGGTCGCATTGGATGTTGTAATCTGCAGATGACAATGTTAAATGACGCAACATCAGGATAGGCTGGGGGGAACACTGACTTTGGAGGAAGAAGTCTGCAACACTGATATACTTGCCAGCCGGCTGAGGTCCCGCCTTGACGGGCTTCTTTCCTTTCTTCGAACGAGAAGTCTGCTGTGATGCCGACGGTTGTTGACCTGGAGCGTCAAGGAAGAATTCCACTTCTTTAGGGCCTGCACCAAGTCTTGGCACTTTGGGGGGCATTGGCTGCGAGGCACCGTCTCTGGGTATTGCAACACCAGCAATGCGCTTGAACCGTGGAATAGCTTGGCCTTTCTTATTAGTTTTCTTGATGTGGGTCACCTGAACCCTCAAGTTGCGAATGAACCGCCGCAAGTTGTTGAGCTCGCGAGGGCGGAATGGCTCATACAACCCGAAGATGTGCGCCAGCGGGCCTTCTTGGTAGCAGGCAACGTACTTGACCTGTACGTTCACCAGAAGACGCGAAGTTGCGGCACGAACACTGACAAAGAAGCCCCGGAGTGCCTCCAGCCCGTCACCGAGAGAATATTTCTCCTCACGACCTCCACAGATAGCATAGTGCTTATTGGCACCGACAGAAGCGATGGTGGGATCACTCTTGGGTTGAAAGCCCAGAATAATATTCATGGCCTGTATAACGTCGGCCTTGGATGCAAACATGGCAGCAGCATCTGAAGATGTGAGATAGTTCAGGAGGTCTGATGGGTTGAGGGTGCCTGTATATTGGCACCTCACCCGGTAGACCTTAGGATCCTCGGGGTACTCGTCCTCATATTCATCCCGGTAGCGAACATCATATTCGGCGGCCTCCTGTTCGATCAGGATCTTCTGGTTTGCAATAAGCGTGGATACATAGTCGGTAACAACACTGTTACGGAACTGAGCCAAATGTTCTTCGAGAAACAATCGCACGATGTGACGGGCTTTCTTGCCGGTAGGCTTCCTACCAGCTGCGTCGCCTGAGATATCGATGTGGTAGCGGTATAGCTGCTTCCCCACCGACTTTAGCTCAAAATAGTTTGCGTACAGCGTGACAGGCCGGCCCTGGGTGCCAAAACCAGGCCGCAGCGGCCACTCCGCAGCTTTCTTCTGCTTCTTCGCAAGCACCGCTGCTCCGATAGCGTTTTCCGTTTTCTCGACCTGGGGACTGGGGGTAGGGACCGGTCCACCCGGACTAAGGTAGCCATTAAGTTAGATTGGCGTGCAATGCAGCCAAACGCGTGGGGACGCTACTCACGAGTACACCGACGGGCCTTGATCAAAACCGCCTCGCCCTCCTCCCCGACCTCCGCGGCCACCACGTCCACCACCACGGCCCCCATCAAACCCTCTTCCCCGTCCTCTATTATCCGAACCCCGTCCACGGCCCCCATCAAATCCCCTCCCACCACCACCACCACCACCACCATCACCTCTTCCTCCCCGACCTCTAAAACCGCCATCACTGGGACCGGGACGGATAGGGAGCTCAGTGGTCGAGCCTCGGCCTGCACCTCCACCTCTGGGAGGACCGCCGCGGCCCCGACCACGGTCTCCCTGGCCACGGTCTCCGCCTTTGCCCCGATCTCCTCTACCACGACCCCGCTGACCTCCCGACGACATGGCAGATGCTTTTCTCACCAAATAAATTTTCTTTCACAACAACTCACAACCCAGATAGACACGCTATGAGGCTGCAGGGAGGATGGGAGCAGAACGAAGGTTTTGGGGAGTGGGGGATGAGCGCTTGCAAATTAGTAGGTGCTGCTAACACACCCCACATCAGGTTGCTGGGGGCACAGCCTGCTGCTCATTCACTCACAGGACGAGGCAGCGCGGCAAGGATGGCCATGCAGCCTTGAGTTGGCAATGAAGTAAAACACGGTGAATGGCTGGTGGGCCTGGTGTACTTATGCGACCGCAGCTGATAGATCAATCCATCTTACTGTATTCAATCGTCCAGGAAGGGAATCCCTGATCGAGAAATGACGTTTAGGGGGAGACCGGAAGGCTGCACACATGGTGGAACAAAGACTGCCGCCCAATCATTTGGGTCTGAGACCGGGGTTTCACATGGTGTTGGATAGGGGAGAAATGATGGGGATATAGTCTAGGCTGGGAGCAAATGAGGGGCATTGATAACGGTAAGAACCAGTATATACGGGGTATCTATGTAGCCATGGTCAGCCTGCCAGAAAGCGGAAATCAGCTCATCTTTGACTTTGTTTTTCTCCCATGGCTTTGATAGGGTGATTTGACGAAGCAGAATGAAGAGGATCCACTTGGATGGGTCCGCAATCCGGCCAGAAGCTTTCTGGACTCATCGAAGTGAGTACAAGAGCAAAGTATGTTCCTCACTAGTAGATTGACAGCTGCTGCCGCCGCTGCCTTTGGGGTGGAAAATATTCTTAGTGGAAGCGAATGAGCTCACGGATCAATACTGCGTCAGCACTCTTTCGCTCCAGCTCGATCTGACTGGCTCTTGCTTGGTGAAATAAGACTTCATGTCAGCGAGCGTCTTGGTGTCACTGCGCATCCAGGTTCGTTGGTTATTCCTTTCTACTCCCAGTATCACAAGTTGTGTATGGTTGATACCAACCAACGATCATACGAGGCAACTAGATATGCACCCTGTAATATAGTTAGTTAGTTAGTTGTCCACTATCGGACCAAGCGGGCAAATGAGCAGCTCATTTTCAGCCTAAGGATTGAGACGGCGTCTCAGGAAGACCATCACAGCCCGGGTCCAGGCTACTCCCATGGCGAGACAAACGGGGCCAGTGCCATCTTATAGATCAAAGGTACTTATGACGCAAATCCTTTAGCAGTATAGTGTAAGGTCTGAATAGCCGTCTTACATAAACGTGTCCACTGCAAATTCTGCTTCTGTCTCTATGCTGTTGGAATCCAAGTGAGAGGACAGTAAGCCGTACTTGATTCCTTTCTCTACTTGAATTCGAAAAAGGAAATTGATGTTCCCATCCCGCCTTACGTCAGCTGTTGCCTGAGGACCATATTGACCGCCTCAGGAAAAAGGCAGAAGGCGATAACGGAGATAACCAACTTAAACACTAAGCACCGAAACGTGCCTCTAGACACCCGCCGTCAGTCCTCTGGGGTTCCAGCCATCCTACCCATCCTTCAACCTTTCCATCACTCGACTCGACCTTTTCCCGGATTTTTTTTCTGATTTTCCAGAGCTGCTTCCCTGTGCGCCTAGCTGCTCTGGACAGCACTGAGGTGATCGCGACCTTGACTACAAGCTGCCAGTTCTGCTTGCGGACTACCGGACGGACCGCAAAGCACCCCCAAATCCACATTATCGCGCCCCTCCTTGGTGCTCAGCGCACCTCGCCCTCCGCCAACTGCCTCTTCCAGCAGCTGCAGAAGAGCGAGGGATCTAGCCACATCGCGCGAAATTGGCCTTGACTTCTGTCTCTGGGCAGAACTTTCGACTCGCGCGCCGTCTCACACTGCGCTGAGTGAAACCGCAAACACACCCCCGTACCAGCAGTTGCGCCCCGTCGATATCTCACACGGCGCTTCGTTACATCACGCTCTCCTGTCTGCGCCCAACCCGACCGTCGGAACGTGGCTTGGATTCGTACTGCGACACCGCCATTTTCCAATCACAACATCTGACGGACACTTGGAAGAATCTCCAGTTGTGGAGGCCGCGCACTGCGTCCCACTATACGATTGTCTACTCGTTTGTCTGCTTCGGTCTGGCGTACCACAGTATCAGCTCTGGAGAAGTCTGACAAGATCAAGGGTATCCTGAGGGTGTCCTGATTATCATACAACGTTGCTCTCTAGTTCAGAAACCGTTCCAGCAAACGTCTTTACAACAAAATGTCTCCCACTCCTCCATCTACAACCTCATCGAGCGCTAGCGCATTTTCGCCGGAAGGTCTTCATAAAATTACTAGGAAGAGAAACCGGGTGCCACTTTCCTGTGCGCCTTGCCGGCAACGAAAGTAAGTGCCTCTGCTCACTCTGAGTGCCGTACATGGCTCATCATTTTCAAACAGGTTGAAATGTAACCGTGCACAACCTTGTGAGAACTGTATCAAACGAGGCGATGCCACATCATGTTCATATGCTCAGGCAAACGTACGAAAGAAGAATCCGCCTCCGCTGTCTGCTTCAAGTTCGCCAGACGACATGCAGAATCGCATTGACCGGCTTGAGAATCTTGTTCTGTCCCTCATGACGAACGGTTCGCAGGCCGGCGGTCCAGCTGCAGCCCTTGCTGCGATATCTGGCAACAGCAGTAGCACTGGCTCTGTACCACATACCGGGGATGTAGACATAGAGGACGACGCACCCAATGCTCCGGAGGAGAGTGACACTGAGCAGGTCACCAAATCGTTTGGCATAATGAAGGTCGACAATAACAAGTCATGGTATTTCAGCGAAGCCCATTGGGCTACTGTAATGCATGATGTACGTCTATCTTATTCTCAACCAGCTTCGATGGTTATGCTAATGGTACTTTCTAGATCACGGAAGTCCGCAATTTCTTCCAGACGCACAAAAAACAGTACGAGGAACAAGCCCAGAAATTGGAGGCAACGAAGTTGCCTACCGATGTTTCAGGCTCTGCATTACTGTTTGGAGCTACAAAGCCGCTTAGCCGAGCAGAAATCATGTCTTCTTTTCCTTCAAAGTATACAACGGACATGTTGATTGAACGATATTTCAGCTGTTACGACCCTTCGACTCGTGAGTCAGAGATTACGTCCACCTACACAAAGTACTGTTAGAGCTGACGTAGCAATAGATATTCTCCACGGCCCAACCTTTCAAGCCCAGGTAAGTCAAAATTGTTCCCCCTAACGGAGGGGAGGCAGTTCATTAATAGTGGCCTAGTACAACCGTCACTGGGAGGATCCTTCGCAGACGTGCACCGTTTGGATCGCTATGCTCTTCGCCATGATGCGGCTGGCCATGTTATCATACCATCGTGATGGAGACGAGCCACCGGAGTTCCGGGGTAAATCGTTAGACATGGCTGGCACGTTTAGGAATCTTGTTGCGCAGTGCCTTACTTTGGCTGACTTTACCAAATCATATCCAAATCTGATTGAAAGCTTGATATTCCATCTTCATGGAGATCTCTGCCAGACACGGGAAGCGGACGTATCAGTTTGGGTGCTGGTGGGTGTGATTACGAGGCTGGCCATGAGGATGGGATACCATCGCGATTCGAAGATGTTTCCCAACATCACCCCCTTCCAGGGTGAAATGCGCCGCCGAGTGTGGTCCTTCGTACGGCAGGCAGATCTACTGTGCTCCTCTCAAATTGGTCTTCCAAACATGATTCGCACGTCTGACACAGACACGGAACTCCCCCGAAATTTGTATGATGACGATTTCGATGAGAACTGCAAGGAGCTCCCTCCGTCTCGACCCCCGAATGAGCCTACACCAATCTCGTATCTTATTGCCAAGTCACGCTTGACATTTGTCTTTGGCCGTGTCCTCGAAACAACAGCCCCCCTTCAAACTCCAGTTTCTTACGACACTGTTATGGAGGTTGATGCGCAGCTTCGGCGAGCTAGAGACTTGATACCTGAGCACCTGCTTGTTCGTCCGATTGAAGACTCTCCACGGGAGTCACCCACTCTGATTCTTTCTCGCTTTACGGTAACTCCAATCCGCGATGTTTGTGTTTGGCTTGTCCTGACTATTTGCAGATTGCAAGTGTGTACCACAAAGCGCAATGCGTCCTCCATCGAAAATACCTAGTTCGAGCGCACGAGAACCCTCGCTTCACATACTCAAGAAGAACATGCATAGATTCCGCTATGGAATTGCTGCGGTATCAATCGTTGCTCCACACTGAAACTCAACCCATGGGGCGACTACGAAGTAGACACAACCGGGTTACCTCTCTCGGCTCGACCGACTATCTCCTGGCAGCGACGATTATTTGCATCGATATGTATCATGGACAACGACTTCAGGCTGCAGGCAGAGTATCCAGTGACTCATATGCTTGGGGTAGAGAGCGACGAGAAGAATTAATAGCCGCCCTGCGGCGATCCAAGGGAATATGGGAGGAACTTCAGGACGAGACGATAGACGCTTGGAAAGCAGGCACCGCCCTTGGGGTGATGCTCTCAAAACTGAACCTTGGATATCCTGAAAGTACCGCTCCTGCGCCGACATTTGAGCCGCAGGATGAGAAACAAAGTGCGGCGATGACCCTGGGTCTCCTCAGCAGCGGAATGAGCCCTGTAAATCCCGGCCACCAAGTCCTCAACGATCCTACGTACAAGATGACAGATGCGCCCTTGCCAGCGCAGGGTGCACTAGGAACGACAGTCGACATGCCAGGAGCGCCTTCGCCTTTCAACGCAATGTTTGGGCAGCTACCTGATATGCAGCTCAATCTGGATTGGGTACGTGTTTCTGTATGGTGTAATCTTGTGAGCTATCTCTAACTAAAGTAACACAGGATGCCTGGGATACCTATATTCAGAATTCGACGCTAGATGCGTCATCACAATGGTGGCCCTCGGCCGAGGTGCAACAACAACAGCAGCAGCAGCAGCAAAGCCAAAGTCCTCTGTCACCCGTACAGCTGTCCGCCGTGCAGAGTGGCGGAGCTGATCGACTTCGCTCGATGCCCCGCGGTCCCCCTAACCTTTTCTCTCCGGACAGCAGTGGCTATGACAATAGCAGTCCACTTGCGGCGGCAGCCTTTACCGCCAACCCACTCCAACATCCGAGTAATACAGGACCGGGAACTTGATTGTCTCTCGGCTTCAGTCCGGCAACGCAGTATATAAAGAATGAATGTCAAAAGTTAATGTGATGGCTAAGTGCTGTACAATTCCTCTGTCCATATGGTTCCTTCTTTGTTGGATTATCTCCCCTCACAAGAGGCATGTTTATATCATTTCATTGGTATATTTTGCGTGTTTGGTGTCTGGATGGTTATGAATTCTGGTACTAATAAATGGAGGCTTCAGAAAAAAGCAAAGATGTAAATTAAGTGACTCTTAATCGGCTGCAAATATGGAATGGCGCTACGTTCAGTTTCTTGAATTAATCTCCTTCCATGTGCTGCTAAGTGATGCACACTCAGTACGTAGTAGATTCCAAAGTTCTCTTTAACTAGTAGTCCTTGATGTAGTGCCGACATATATATAGTCTCCGAGCATCAACATCTGAAGACTAGCACCGTCACTACACCAAGGACTAGTTCCAACAATGACGAAGCTCCCAGGATTCTCCACATTAAGATTGTCCTTAAACCAGAAAATACAATCCAAATCATATCTAGACTACTAGTCAAACTCCCAGCACAGGTAAAATCACGTGACAACCGGCCTCGGATCGGACGAACCAGATTTTCCAATCAAGCCGCAGCAGCAGACAGCAGCAGCAGTGCAATTTCCCCAGAATCCCAACGAGGCCAGAAAGAAATAATTTAATTCTGTTTTCATCCTTGGCCTACAGAGAAAATGTAAGTTGATGGTACTGCATGTCCTCGAGACGTTGTTTTGATATCTGTGTACATCTCTAACACTCCGATTCGGACACAGGCATTGTTTCCGAGCAGCTTGCCGGCTGCTGTCTTCCACAGCACCAGCGCCGTTACGCTCAACCAGAGCACTTCCTTCCCTCCAATCTCGCCTGGCAGTTCCTGTTCGGATTTCGCAGCCTACTTTGCAGAGTCGTTGGAACAGTACCGATGTGAACAATGAGCGCAAACCTGTTGAGGAGAGCGAGCAGCGCGAGAAGACCGAGGAGGTGGAACAGTCGCGCGAAGAGCCGTCGATTCGGTTCATTCAGACAGAACTGAAGGCTGGTAACCAGAGGCCGGTTCAGCAGGAGAAGCCGCAGGAGCAGGAGCAGGAGCAGGAAGCATCTGACGCTGAGAAGCAGACGGAAGCGCGGAGGCGAAGACTCCAGGAGCCGCCGACCCCCAAGGAGACGGTTTTCATTGGCAATATCTTCTATGATGTGACTCGTGAGGATCTGAAGAAGGCGATGGAGAAGTATGGTGTTGTTGAGAAGGTGGTTCTCGTTCTTGATAACCGGGGCATTAGCAAAGGGTAAGTTGGTTTGAAGGAATTTATTCCTTCTGTGGCGGGACAGTATAGAGCTAACCACTACCCGGGTATAGATACGGCTATGTCCAATTCGACTCTATCGATGCCGCCCAGCGCGCAGTGGATGCGTTGAACTTGCGTCTATTCGAGGGCCGCCGCGTGACCGTGCAATTCGCCCAGAACAATGTTTACCACCGCCGGCAATTGAACGCCCCTACCCGCACGCTGTACATTGGTAACTTGCCTTTCGAGATGACGGACCGGGACCTCAACGAGCTGTTCAAGGACGTTCAGAATGTCGTTGATATTCGTGTGGCGGTTGATCGTCGCACTGGACAGGCTCGCGGTTTCGCTCACGCCGAGTTCGTCAGCACCTCTAGTGCCAAGGCGGCCATGGCCATCCTTGAGAACAAGCTCCCCTACGGACGCAGACTGCGTCTGGATTACAGCAAGGCCACGAGCCGGACCGTGGTTGGTAGCGACAAGTCTGCTCCCGCGGAGCAGTCATAAAAGTTTGAGCGGTTGGCATCAGGATTATTCTGTGTAAACATGTCAAAGGAGGAGAGGTCTCATGTACTTTAATTGAACGATATATCCTACATACTGTAGGTCTGTATATTAACGAAATTGCATTCGACTGACTGGAATATATCTCGGGGATTCTGTATCGATAGACTAGTATACTCCGTAGCATGATAGTTACAATCCACGTGACTGTCGGGGAGCCTCGGTATCTTTCCGATCGGCAGTAGCGCCTCTCTCCGAAACCCCACGTTCGGCGCTCGAGCTGTTCTTCCTCGGACAACTCGCATTTACATCTGCTTTATAATCAGCTCTACCAAATACTCAACCTCTCCGCATCTACCCCTGCATTATTCATGATATAACTGAGACCCAGACCACTACGATCGTTACTACACATACAACATGTCCTTCCTTGGTGGCGCCGAGTGCTCGACGGCAGGCAATCCGTTGACTCAGTTCACCAAGCACGTCCAAGATGATAAGTCCCTACAGAGAGATCGCCTCGTGGGGCGGGGTCCTGGAGGCATGCAAGAAGGCATGCGGTCCCGGGGTATGATGGGAGGACAAGATCAGGTACGAAGTGAACCCTTATCTATCAGAAACCATACATCTTTATCCAGTACTAATGCCTGATTGATAATCCTATTCAGATGATGGACGAATTCGCCCAACAACCCGGCCAAATTCCCGGTGCTCCCCCGCAACTATTCGCCATGGAGCAGCTGCGACGTGAGCTAGATCAGTTCCAGACCACACCTCCCCGGACGGGCTCCCCCGGCTGGGCTGCCGAGTTCGATGCGGGCGAGCATGCCCGCATGGAGGCTGCATTTGCCGGGCCGCAAGGTCCCATGATGAACAATGCGTCGGGCTTTACGCCCGCGGAATTTGCCCGGTTCCAGCAGCAGAGTCGGGCTGGCATGCCGCAGACGGCTAATCCTGTGGCGTCTGCCCCGTCGCCGATGATGGCAGGTTACCAGCGGCCCATGGGTATGGGCGGATATATGGGCATGGGTGGCATGGGCATGATGCCGCAGACATTTAACCCGATGGCGATGCAGCAGCAGCCAGCGGAGGCGACTACACAGGATAAGGGCAAGGGACGGATGGTGGAGCTGGATGACGAGAACTGGGAGGCACAGTTTGCGGAGATGGAGACGGCGGATACTCAGAAATTGGACGATGAGGCCAACGCAGCTGTGGAGGCAGAGCTGAATGATCTGGACAGGTCAGTCCCCCAAGAATCAGGCGATAGTGCCTTTGAAAGCGTGTGGCAACGGGTCCAGGCTGAGACCGCAATCAACAGGAAACTGGCCGAGGGCGAGACCGACTTTAACATTGACGACAACCTGCATATGGGTGAGATGGGCGAATGGGACGGATTCGATACGCTTAACACACGCTTCCGGAACCCCCAACTAGGCGATTACATGTTCGAAGAAGATAACGTGTTCCGGAGCGTGAACAATCCTTTCGAAGAGGGAGTGAAGATTATGCGTGAGGGTGGAAACCTCTCTTTGGCTGCTTTGGCCTTCGAGGCGGCAGTCCAGAAAGACCCCCAACATGTCCAGGCCTGGACCATGCTGGGATCGGCCCAGGCGCAGAATGAGAAGGAACTTCCGGCCATCAGGGCGCTGGAACAGGCACTGAAGATCGATGCTAACAACCTGGATGCGCTGATGGGACTGGCTGTTTCCTACACCAATGAGGGCTATGACTCGACATCGTACCGCACTCTGGAGCGCTGGCTGTCCGTCAAGTACCCCCAGATTATCAACCCCAACGATGTTTCATCGGATGCCGACCTGGGCTTTACGGATCGTCAGCTCCTGCACGACCGTGTTACCGACCTCTTCATCCAGGCTGCTCAGCTGTCGCCTTCGGGCGAGCAAATGGACCCGGACGTCCAGGTCGGTCTGGGAGTTCTCTTCTATTGCGCGGAGGAGTACGACAAGGCAGTTGATTGCTTCTCTGCTGCATTGGCATCCACGGAATCTGGAACCTCGAACCAACAGGAGCAGCTCCACTTGTTGTGGAACCGTCTGGGTGCTACGCTCGCCAACTCGGGTCGCTCCGAGGAGGCGATCGAGGCCTACGAGCAAGCGCTGAACATCAACCCTAACTTCGTTCGGGCGCGGTACAACCTGGGTGTGTCGTGCATCAACATCGGCTGCTACCCAGAAGCTGCTCAACACCTGCTGGGAGCACTGTCGATGCACCGGGTGGTTGAGCAGGAAGGTCGAGAGCGGGCGCGTGAGATTGTCGGTGGCGAGGGTGGCATTGACGACGAGCAGCTGGATCGCATGATCCATGTTAGCCAGAACCAGAGCACCAACCTGTACGACACGCTGCGGCGAGTCTTTAGCCAGATGGGACGACGCGATCTGGCTGATCAGGTGGTGGCGGGCATGGATGTCAATGTGTTCCGGCGGGAGTTTGAGTTTTAAGCATAGCAAAAGGGCATATAGTGGTCATGCTCAGCCTGGTTTGCTGAGAGATGTTGTCTAGCTGGATGGAAGGTGATGTTTTGGATATGGATACCATATATGAATGATTCTCTGCGGACTGGCGCCCACGGAGGGATGCCGTAATGAACGAAGCTCATTGAGATATGCAGTGTAAATGAGAATGCGATTTATCTGTAGATATTCTGTTCTAATCAAATGGTTGTAATCAATTATCTACAGTTATCCATCCCTTTATTGTATACCATTCATGTGGCTGCCTGGGGCCACTCACCCCTTTGCGTCATCCGCCATTGTTTGCCTCGGCTCTTCTCCTGCTCCTTCAACTCGAACTCCGCTCGACTTCTCGCTGAAGCAGCACTGCTCTCACAATTCTCCTTGCAAGGAGAAAATTTCACTGTATACTATGGCCGTGGTCACCGGCGCTCAACTGATCGCCCGATCGCTGCGCGATCTAGGCGTCACCGTCATCTTCGGCATTGTCGGCATCCCTGTGGTCGAGATCGCCGAAGAGGCCATCAACCTGGGCATTCGATTTGTGGCTTTTCGCAATGAGCAGGCTTGCAGCTATGCTGCCAGTGTCTATGGATACATGACAGGCCGACCGGGCGTCTGTCTAGTTGTCGGAGGGCCGGGAGTTCTCCACGCTTTGGCCGGGGTAAGCTTACTCCAGCATTCTCTCCACCGCTAGCCAGCTCTTGGCCATCGTGCTAACTCCATACTATCGATTGTCACCAGATCGGGAACTCCTCCGCAAACAACTTCCCATTGCTAGTCCTCGCCGGCTCTGCTGAGACCACTGGTGTCACCAAAGGCGCTTTCCAGGAATTGGACGCCATCTCCTTGCTCACTCCTCACACCAAGCTCGCTGTCCGCGCCTCCTCCCTCGACTTCATCCCCGGCGCCGTCAAGAATGCCTATCGCACATGCTGGTACGGCCGTCCAGGCCCGACCTTCGTCGACCTCCCCGCCGACATCATCCAAGGCAAATCCTCCCCTGGATACCGTCTCCCGCAGCCCGAGACCCTGCTCGTCCCCTCTCCGCCAAAGGCGAGCGGAGACCCAGCCCTGATCCTCAAGGCAGCGCAGTTGCTCCGCACCGCTCGCTCCCCACTTCTGGTGGTAGGCAAAGGCGCCGCATACGCGCGCGCAGAGCTCGGAATCAACCAGCTCGTGGATCAGACTCAGATCCCATTCCTACCGACACCAATGGGCAAGGGCGTTGTACCGGACTCGCACCCCTTGAATGCATCCAGCGCTCGCAGCGCAGCCCTAAAGCACGCCGACGTTGTCCTGATCCTCGGTGCCCGTCTCAACTGGATCCTCCACTACGGCGAAGCACCCAAATGGAATCCGAAAGCAAAGATCATCCAGGTGGACATATGCGCCGAAGAAATCGGCCGCAACGCCGGAACCGCCGAGCTAGGCATCCTAGGAGACATCGGACTGGTCGTAGACCAACTCCTCTCCTCGCTCTCTAACTGGAAATACTCCCCTACTCCTTCCCAATCACCATCGTCTAATAAACCCAACGAAACCTTCACATCCATCCTAACCGCCTCCGCCAACCGCAACGAACTTAAGGCCCAAACCGCCGCCCTCTGTCCCACCCCGCCAAACACCCCCCTCACCTACCAGCGCGCCTACCACATCATCAAATCGACCCTCAACACCCTCTCCCCCTTCGAACAAGGCAACATCATCTACGTCTCCGAAGGCGCCAACACAATGGACATCTCCCGTTCCATCTTCCCGCTCAACCATCCCCGCCAACGCCTCGACGCAGGCACCTACGCCACAATGGGCGTCGGGATGGGGTACATTGTCGCAGCGCATGAAGCATACAACGCCCTCCCATCCACCACCTCCACCAAGCCAAAGAAAATAGTAGCCTTCGAAGGTGACAGCGCCTTTGGCTTCAGCGCTATGGAAATCGAGACCCTAGCGCGGTACCGCATCCCGGCACTCATCTACGTGGTTAATAACTCGGGCATATATCACGGGGATTCGGTGAGTGAGGATGATTGGAGGGTATTGCAGAGTCAGACGGTGGGGAATGATACGAAGGCTTCTGAGAGTGGTGGTGGTGCTGGAGGGACGAAGAAGGGCCTGCGCTCGACGAGTCTGCTCTACGAAACAAGGTATGAGATGTTGGCGACGATGTGTGGTGGGAAGGGGTTCTTTGTTAGGACGGAGGAGGAGTTGGAGAAGGCGACGAGGGAAGGGTTCGAGAGTGAGTGTGTGACTGTTGTCAATGTTATTGTTGAGCCGGGGATTGGCAAGGAGATTGGGTTTGCGTGGCAGGGTAAGGGGAAGGGGGATGATTCTAGTAGTGTAAGAGAGGCGAAATTGTAGGTGATGTGCGGGACTATACCAGAATGCACTTCAAATTGTCTGTACATCACATGTCTGAGACTATACATAGTATATACACTCAATGTATAGCAAATACCCAGTACGTAGTATCTATAACCACTACCGCAAAACCTCATCCAACACCTTAGCCACCGAAACGGCCTTTTCTTCACCAAACCGGCCTCCAACGATTTGTACCGTGATGGGCATGTCTTTGACCAAGTCAGGGTCATCTAGACAGCGTCAGCAAACAGTCTCTACAATAAGAACAAACCAGTAAGGGAATGGAAAAGGAGAGTATGTATGCATACACTGTTCCCAATTAAACCGATCCGAGTCATTCCTAGGCACATGCTCCAACCACTCCTGATCGGGCTGATCAAGCGCACCATCCACTTTAGCCACCGGAACAGTAACAGCTGCGTAATTAAGCAAGTTCCAGAGAGCCGTGTAGCCGAGCCACTGGGAACTAACGACCCAGGATTTCGGCCGGTAGCCGACCCAGGGTGTGACGGGCATCAGGAGGGCGTCGAGGTTGCTTGATGTCCATTGTTGGAGGAAGGTGGTTTGGTAGGCCCATTTGGTTTCTTCGAGCTGTTCATTTGTGTAAGTTAGTATGGTATGGCTATGTGGTAGATTGATGGGTGGGGGTATGAGCCTGACCTCTTCGCGTTCTGAGATGGTCAGTTCATCTTTCTCTGTCCCTACAACCATTCCTTCGATCAGTGGCTCCCCGACAATGTCGCATAGGTAGCGACAGTGTTGGCCTCCGTCGGCGAGGATGGCTTTTGTCCACAGGTTTTGGCCTGTGACGTGGAGGGAGGTGTCCCATTCGAAGACTGGTTTGGTTAGTGGAACTTGAGGATAAGGAGCGGGGGTTCTGAAATGTGTACACACCTTCATGACCAGCCTCTTTGAGTTTCTCTGCAACTTCGCGCATTGCCCTGGCGATTGGGGGCTGCGGCTTGACTACGCCGTCGTCGTAGACTATTCCCAGTCGTAGTTTACCTGTGGGTTTCGCAGCAAGTTCCTTTCTCCAAGGGATTGGGATGCAGCCTGGGTCGATGTTCCAAGGGTTGGAGTCGAGGAGGGATTGCATGAAATGCTCGATGCTGGATAGACTGCGGGCCATGGGCCCTGCGACTGGAGGAACGAGGTAGTGTTGGTGCATGCTGGGGATGGTCAGCCGTTGTTTATAGAGTCATGGTATATGGCGATGGAGCCATACAATGAGCAGTTCCATGGTACTCGGCCTGTGGTAGGACAGATCGAGTATAAACCCTGCAGATTGGCTGGGACGCGAATTGAGCCCCCGATATCTGTTCCGATACCAACCACACTGCCACCCGTGCTAATGAGGGCGCCTTCGCCGCCGGAGCTTCCGCCAGAGATGAGTTGGCTGTTGAATGCGTTGATGGATTGTCCGAATACATGGTTGTAGGAATCAGACATCTGGCTCAATCAGCGTCTGCCATCATGAGCAAGGTAGTAGGGTGATTGCTTACCATCAGAGACTGTGGCACATTAGTCTTCACGTACAACACTGCACCCATTGACTCCAGCGACAATGCAATACTGCTGTGGCTTTTCGCGGGTTTACCAACTAGTCCAACCCAGCCTACATACAAGTAGTTAGTCAACACTCCTCTCCCAGGCGGTAGTAGTTCCAGGGAATGGACACAAACCAACGGTAGTATCAAACCCTTCAACATCAAACCGATCCTTAATCGAAACCGGCAGCCCATGCAACGGTCCTGTCACCTTCCCCGTCTTCTCCAAGATATCATCGAGCTCCTTAGCCCGCGCCAGAGCCCTGTCGAAGAAGATCTCCGTCAAGCACTTGGTAAGCTGCTGGGCGATGGCCGCGCGCTTACAGAACGCCGTCGTGAGCTGAACGGAACTAATCTCGCGGCTCGCCAGCATAGAAAGCAGCACAGTACTATCGTTTATCTCCGTCCATTCCAGCTCTTTCTCCGTGAGAATGTCACAGGAGCGGATTGCCTCTAGAGCGTTAAGTGGCGGATCGGCAGTGATGGACTCCGGGAGACGCCAACTAGGTGGAATTGCGGCCAGCTGAGCTGCGCGCTTCTTGTAGACGGTTGATTTCCAGGTTGGAATAGTCATGGTTGTTGTTTCTATATACTAGCTTTGCGAATATTGGATGTCTTGGGTAAAATGGGTTAAGAAGGACTATGGAAGATTGAAACTACTGGAGATTCCAGAGTCGTACGGTGGAAGAAGAGGGCCACAGCGCCGGACTTAAAGCCGGATGGGTATCAGGTGTCCTACACGACAGTCCAACACGGTTGGCTATCATGGTGATGAACCAAGGGAGGAGATAAGTTGCGCGGCCGGATGATATCGGTGGTGCTGCCAATCAAGGGCTCCTGATCGTCTTATCCTGCCTATCTCGGGGGAGGATGGATTAGGTTTCTATCCGGATGATGCTGCGGGGATGGGAGGGGAAGCTGACCGGATTTGGTGCCGATTTCCCCTCACGGGTTAGCAACTTGGTGCTTTGGATGGATGGATGGTATGATGGGAAGGAAAAGAGGAGAAGGGAGAAGGAGTGGATGGAAGAGGTGGTTTGAGGGTCGGATGAAGGGCCCGCCAACCATGAAGCTCCGTCAGGCGCCGAGGCACCTGAGTTACGGCAGAGACAAAACACGAGCAGATACAGAGATATGCTTGCTTGGATATTTGATACTATGGTACATATAGACGCCTCTACACAGTGATCAACATGCTGGCGTTCTTATACCAGGTCAAGAGCGGATTCTCTCCGTTCTTCGTCTCCGTGTCTTCAATATACGCCCACCGGCGCATAAAGTCTTCGTGGCTCATCACCTGCGTCAGCTTGCCCGTGACAGCACGGTAGATGTCTTCGGTGGTGTTGAAGTCGGTAGGGAAGAAGATATCGAAGTATCCTTGGTGGACCTAATGCAGAGTTAATAAACGGCCAACCAACCACATGGAAGAAAGTAAGGGAGAAACATACGAATGGCGTCGACACTGGAACTGTCCGTCTCTTGTACCGCGTCTGCACCACGGGCGCATTCACTCCCGGCACGGCATCCGGGAGAGTGTCAAAGTCACTGGCGATCAGGCGGTGGCCCGGGAAATAGGTGTTCAGGATATCGAAGAACTGCATGAGCCGCGTGGGGATATACTCCGGCAGGGTGTAGCGATGGCCCTCCTGCCACGGCAGCTGACTGCGCATCAACTTCATGTACTTGGAGGTCAAGGGAGTGCGGAATTTCCGTCGCGCCGCAGCCTGGCGCACTCGCAAAAAGCGAGAAGCAATCGGGTCCAGCTGCGTATTGTAGTACTCGAGAAACTCGCCGTTGGCGTCAATCAGCACTCCACCCTGCTGAGGCAGCTCCGTCTTGAGGTCGTAGCGGATTTGATCATGGGAAAAGTTATCGAACACCTCCAGCGCCAGGAAGAAGCACGGCGAATGTACATATGTATCCCAGTCGAAGATCGAGCGGTTGATGATCTCCACACGGTCTGAATGACCGGCCGCATCGAGCGAGTCGGTCAAGTTCTGCATTTGAAGCGAGGCCAGCGACGGCGAAATCTCAATGATCTTGTACTTGGTCCGCTGGTAAACCTCGTAATCTGTGTCGCGAATGTAATCCAATATGTTCATCATCATGGTTCCGTTTCCGGCACCCATTTCGTATATGATCAGGTCGTGGTACGGGTACAGGGTCAACTTGTAGTTCGACACCAAGTACCGTGCAATCGTCTCTCCGTAATAAGGTCGGAAAAGCTCCGTTGGCGTGTGCCACAGCTGACGAGCGACATCTGGATTGGTCTCATCCAACTGATCCTCAAATTCGTCGTAGCGTTGCCCAAGCATGCGATAAAATGCCGGACCATCCTCGATCTCGTTGAAATAAAATGGCTCTCCGGGGCGGAAAATGGTGGCGTGTTTCGAGAAGTAGCCGTAATTGTGATTGTATAAACTGTCTAGAAAAGGAACGAGACAACATCATTAGCATCAGCGACCATCAATCACATAGTGGACAGGCCTGCCAACCATCGATAAATTCTCTCGTCAGCATCTTCACTTGTCGCGGCCGCTCACGATGATGGCGGAGCTCTTTGGCCGTCACCAACGGATACGCCTGCAATTGCTCTTCGAAATTGTCGACATTTTGCATGACCTGATCTCGCGGGGCCCATAGTGTTCCAGGATCTAGTTTCGAATGTCCAAAGAGGCGTCTCTTGAAACTTTGGAAACTGAGGTTGCGAGACTGTTGACGGGATGGGGTGGATGACAGGCGCACGCAACCCGGTCGGCGCCCCGACAGGGCAGATGAGGATCTCCATGATTGGCGACAAGCAGGATGTTGAAACAGCTGCCGGAACAGCTGATTCAGGACTGGCGAGTCCATGAGGAGGAATTGGCGGCGAGCAGCAGCGAAGCGCAGGCCGAGGAGGGATCGTGAAAGACGAAGAGAGAGCGAGAGAGTGAGGAGGTCAGGCGACGAATCACGAAATCCATTGGCCGGAGTTGCTCTGGTTGGCCCGAGCTTTTTCTCCGGTCTCTTCTCCGACCAGCTTCTGACGTAGATGAATTGATATGAATTGATATCTTCTCTTCACTGCAGATACTCATACTTGATCCCCTCCAAGCATGGGTGACCGCTCGCATCTGTATATCGGCACTGCCTTTGTCGCTGGTGTTCTTCTCACGCTGGGATTCAAGGATCTTGTCTACCCGGAATTAGAGCGCCGCGTCAAGGACTACTACCAAGCAAGCTCGCAAGCGAAGACAGCCGCAACAACCTCCGAAGATGCCTTGAGCGCGAGACCAGGCCCTCCCGCCATTGTCGAAGGCATTGAGGGCTGCATTGGAAATACACCTTTGTTTCGAATCAAATCATTGTCCGATGCGACAGGGTGCGAGATTTTGGGCAAGGCCGAAGTACGTCATTCCACTCTTACATCGTCCACATTTTTATTACACCTTCAACAACAATACTTGGGGTATATCTAACAATGTTGCAGTTCCTCAATGGAGCTGGACAAAGCTCCAAGGATCGCGTCGCGCTGAGCATGATTCAAATAGTAACGCAACCCACCTACCCCTCTGGATTGTCTCTTACACCCCCCGCAGGCCGAAGAACACGGTATCCTAAGACCTCATTCAGGCGACACAATCTACGAGGGTACTTCTGGCTCCACGGGAATCTCCTTGGCTACCTTAGCCCGTGCGAAAGGCTATCTCGCGCACATGTTCGTTTTCCATAGCCCTACCCACTTTGCTACCACCCCGCTACAAGCTCTCATACTAACGATATGCTCTAGCTGTATGCCATCCGACCAAGCGATTGAAAAGTCCAATCTCCTCCTTAAACTAGGCGCCATCGTCGACCGCGTACCACCCGCACCCATTGTGGAAAAGGACAACTTCGTCAACCGGGCGCGAGCTCTTGCGCAAGCGCAAACCGCATCGAACACGGACGGAAGGGGTTTCTTCGCCGACCAGTTCGAGAACGAGTCCAATTGGCGGGCACACTTCAATGGTACGGGGCCTGAGATCTATGCGCAATGCGAGGGAAAGCTGGATGCTTTCGTCGCGGGCGCTGGGACTGGGGGTACTATCTCTGGCGTGGCGCTCTTCCTGAAGCCAAAGATACCGAACTTGCATGTAGTGCTGGCCGATCCTCAGGGAAGTGGACTGTACAATCGAGTTCGCTTTGGCGTCATGTTCGATTACAAGGAGAGGGAGGGCACTAGACGACGAAGACAGGTCGATACTATTGTTGAAGGAATTGGGATCAACCGTGTGACGGCGAACTTTGAGGCTGGGAAGGAGCTGGTTAATGACGCAGTCAGAGTGACGGACGCTCAAGCTTTGGCTATGGCTAGGTGGCTTGTAGAAAAGGACGGCATATTCATCGGCAGTAGCAGTGCCGTGAACTGTGAGTACCCCCAAGGATTCCCTTGCCGCGTTACTCATTCTAAATCTCCCATCACACAGGCTTCGCGGCCGTGAAGACGGCAATGAAGCTGGGACCCGGTCACAGGATTGTGACAGTGCTGTCTGATTCGGGTTCGAGACATCTTTCTAGGTTCTGGGCCAAAGCCGGAGATGTTGGTGGCGCCGTGGATACAAAGCTGGAAGATGTTTTGAACGCAAAGGAAGAGGATCAATAGAAGCTACGATTCATTGCGGACAAGCATGGGGTTCGTCACGGGCAAAGAAAGACAAGGCAGAAATAATCATCTATGGGCCTCCGGGAAGACCCCTGGACAGGGGCGACAAAGCCCAAACATGCTATTCCCGCTATGCATGAAGCTGATGCTAGTGTCGGACATGGCGGCGGCCAGAACTATGCTCGTTGCCGCTGAAACCGACAAGCTGGGATCCCCTCGGCCTTACCCGGACGAACCGTGGCGGTGGCTCCCATTCGCGCTAGATAGAACCGCGCGATTGTCTACGGCCCTCCTGTCATCCAGACTTGCCCTAGTGGGTCGTGGCATGAATCTGGCAAGAAGTCGTGCTTGAGGCGATCGGCCCCACTGACTGGTTGCACGTCTGAATCGAATCGAACTCTGACTCAGTTGCCGCGAATCGGCTTCATCCCGTCCTTGTCAGTCTGACACGGGCGCGCGCCCAATTATCTTTCTTCGTGGGCATTAAACGGCCTCGCCACTCCAGAGCTGCAATAGTTCGAATTCGATCTCCGCAACTGGGCGTCCAGACAGTCTTGCACGGATGGTGGCCCACGAGAGGTTGTGTTGGTTCTTGATATTGATTAACTCTTCCCGCTCCTGTTTAGTCCACGGTCTGGACAATGGCGGCGGGTTCGCTCGGCGTTCACTCCAGTGCGTTTTATTCCAGTTAAGGAGTTGGGGCAGGTTTTTGTGTGGAAGTCGGTCGACGATCTCGTTCCACTTTCTCCCTTGTACTTGCCTCATCTCAATAATCAACCTTGCTTCATCTGGACTAATGTACGTCCGAACACGTTTCTTCGTAGGCGTTGTCGTATCAGGATCGTCTGGAGTGTTCTCCGCCGATACTTTCGTTATATTTTCAGAGGAAGCCCCACTCTTTTGGGCGGAAGTGCTGGTCGCTGCTGCCCGCTTCTCTGAATCATGAGAGTTGG